TCATGTTATGCAGCACCATGTCTACAGGGGTGGCCAAAAAAGTCACTTTTCTTCCTTGACTTTCGAGGCGTTATAAGTTACACTTTATTAAATTCTGATCGGACAATTCTACCACCATAATCAACAGCATATAAATACTATCATGATACTCCGCCACAGCCTTCTGGAGGAGCGCCATCGAGAGATTCTGCCACGCGACCGTGAGTCGGTACCTGAGTTCAGCGAGATCGTTGATTTCTCCGCCACTGTAGACCACCCTATTGAACTCCGCCCACCAGGTAATTGAGGGGGTTTAGTTCAGGTGACCTGCTTAGATATTCCATCTTCTTCAGGTACTCAACGCCCTTCCATTCCAAGTAGGCGAGAGTTTTTCCAACGCCCTTCGATTCCATGTGGTGGCACCCAATCCTGTAGCAGTACAAAGTTTCCAAGAAGGGACGACATGTGGGGAGGATATTCTTCTCGAGTTGCTCGATGTAACCGCCAGCGCTCACCTTCAGTCCGGGTCCACGAAGAAAATATTGGTCTTTCCATTCCAGGTACGTCCGGTCCATACCATCAACCCGCGCCTTGGCGACTGTGGTGAAGATGATGTCCTAGACCGTAGCGACGTTGTCGGAGCTGCTCGATGTTGGAGGTCATCCAGATCGAGAGTACTGGTCTCCAGGTAGCTATCCATGGGTGACTCCATACTAGAAGTTTGAAGCAGAAGAAGGTGACATGAATTCCGAAGGTCTTCTCCAGTCAGGTTGCGACTGGAGATGACTTCATATTTTGGTGTACATGAAGGTGATGGGCGAGAGCCAGCTCCTGCTTATAGAGGAACATCTTGTATCTTCCTGCCCTGGTACCCGTATCCACGTCTTCAGTCTAGGCTGCGAAAGCTTTGCTGATATGTGACTTGGTAGAAGTGATTTTTTTGCACCCCCCCCCCCCCTGTGCATGCTTGTTTCACACTCCAACGTGATTGTAGCCAAACATCTTAGAAACCGCATCCAGTAAGTAGCGTGCTATTCTGGGTCGCCACTGTTTCGTACACTTTTCGATGCTATGGTAATCCTTGTATCCTATCTTTCTGTGTGAAATAACTTTGCAATATAGCCATGCGATCACTAACCACCGGGTAACGCGGCCAGTCAAACGTCAGTTTTAAAGATTTTTTTCATTGGGATGCATGGATTCAGGCATCGCCAGTCACTGAAAGCGAACTGCACACGCTCACACCACGCTGCCGTCACACACGAAGTCCCTTTGGCCGTCGGATCTAATCGCTGATCCACGATACGTTACCAATTGTGCAGCCAGCGTGCATTTGTTACTCGAGATCACTCCTATCTTTATGGTCGGAGCATCACAACAAAGGCATAGACATGTTTTCGAAGATATCGTAATATTGCATCCATGACGACAAGCAATGGAACAGGGGGAAGCGCATAGGCCTGAGGCAGCCCAACTCTCGAGATACGCCTCCAAGCCTTGACACAAAAACACTACTACTGTGCAGAACCACTTAATTTCACATGTTTCATTGAGCAACTTAAGTTGAGCAGACCTTCAGTGCCTGTGGAATCGATTAAAGGGCACTCGTTGTTGGGGATTTCCCAACGGGGGGGGTCGTATTTGGCCGCCAGGAGAGGGGGTCGTATTTGGGCTGAGAAAAATTTATTTTGATAGTTGATTTTTCTCGCTTCACGGACGTTAAAGGGAGGGGGTACTTGCTCATTGTTGGGAGGGGGAGGGGGTCGTACTTACTTTTTAGCCTTCTAGGAGTGGTGTGGTGGTGGTGACTGACTTGTCGTATGTGTACTGTTTCATGTTTACTTAGATTACTCATGCCCCTTTCCTCTTTTCATTCCTCCTCCCCCCCCCCCCGCTTGACAGGAAAAATTTTAGTTAGGATAAAAGTTAGCGAAGTTTTGCTCGTAAGATTATTGGAAAAAGTGGCAGGAAAGTTGTGAAAATCTGGAAACTGATTAAGAATTCGGTAGAGAGGGGGCGGTTTTGCTCGCGGGCACTTACCTAGATATTTCGACATGCTGCTAACATATCTTAATCCTTCACACCCCACGCTCACGCTCGACCGGACTCCGATTCGATGAGGAAGAGACAGGGTGTTACGGGCCGGCATCGAGGGGCAGGATTAAGGAGGGAATGGGGGAGCGAAAGGGATGGGGGCGTATGCGAGGTATATAGTACACATAGAACAGCGGTGCGCAACAGACTCTCAAAAAGTACGGACGGGGCGGCTCGGTATGCGAACTCCGACCCGAATCTCCGACAATGCATGTGCCGTGCTAGATTGATGAAGTGTTCGCTTTGACATTTGCTTTATCGCTCGGGTTTTCCCTTGTGTTCGAGCGTGTTACGGATGTTTGAAATACGGACCCTAGTGTTGATAGGTATAGATTAGTCGCTTCAAATATTGATATGCTTTTACTCTTTTTTGTGGACTCTGTGCGACTGCCAACCTCTGGCGTAAAAAACTCCAGCAATAAAAACCTGTTCCGGCTAACCAAACCACGCTAATCAGACGAGGATCAATTCTATGTTCGTAATTGCATTCAGCTTGTCATTTGGCTTATTTATTCACAATATTTAGCTACCATAATGTGTATTCCTTCGACTTGTTGACCCGTCAAAAACATTGGTGATGAATAACAGCCGTTTCTTGTACATTCTCGCTGACAACGACCTGAATATACGTCTGGTCTCTGAGGAGCTGGACGATGGATCGTTTATGTACTAAGTCAGTATTTGGAATGATGAAGTTCTTTGAGAATAAATCTAAATCCTGGTCAATGTTTCATCCAGGACACAGCAACATCAATAAAAGCTCGTGAATTATGTCGAAGATTGGAACGGCGTGGGTGCCGAAGTCTGGTTGCCAAGAAGCCTCAAGTCAATTTGAATTTGCCTCAAATCCCTGATCCGATCTTCTTCGAATTTTGTTTTGCTTTAAGACCATTGTTTGGAAGTTGAGATGTTGAATCCGTTTCTCAGCACACACTTTTAGAACTCAGGCTCCGACTGAAAATGACCTCATATTTTACATGTACATGAAGAGTTAGGTGCGAGACCAGCCTCCTGCTTTATCGACAAACATCCTTGGCGATCTCCCGCCATAGGTACTCGCTAACCAGATGTCCCTCTGTCTTGGCAGCGAAAAACTTTCCTGCACTATGTGACATCTGGTTCGAAGTGACTTTTTTCGCCCCCCCTATACAATTGGCAGTTTCCGTGTAATTTTTCTTAATGTCTTCCCGAAAGGTCTGTTCCCATTTGAGCAAGGGTACAGTAGTGCAAAAAGCGCATAGAAGCACATGTGCAAATCACTACCACACGGTTGGCGCAAGTAGTACCTTCGCGGGCTTGGTTGTGCAAAACAAAAAAAAAAGTGCAGAGTGAATCTCCGTTGGTGAAGCATTTTCAGGCCCTCAAGTAAGGCGAAAAGTTCATTATTGACATCAGACAAAGCCGGATGGGAACAGTATGTGCAAGTTAAACCAGATGACACGTCGATAACCCAGTAAGTTGACCTTATTATACTCTGTATGCAATCGTAAAGAGATCACATTTTAGGCCTGTTGATTTTGACAAGTCCAATCGGAACGTGTACTGCTGTGGAGTGACGAGCAGAGCGATCTTGGATATGATCTGTTCACAAGAACCCCTGTTTGATAATCTGCAGGAATCAATAAGAGCTCACTATTTGCGGCAGTTAGGCCAAGTCGGATAACAAATAGAGAGGCGTTCCAATAAATGACAGGTGGAAGTTGAATGTGAAGAGGAAACATTGAACACCAGTCTTATTGCAGTTCTTCACGCTTTTTGGGTCTCCTTCATTGCGTGGATACTATTTCACATTATGCTGATCCACGTTCATTGTCGCTTAAGAGCGCGACAACTCTCCAAATGCCTCATGAAGATAATTCCAAGCGGAGCAAAAATGCTGACGGTAGTATATAAATGGAAGTTTCCATGCTTCATTATGTCGAACGGAGGGTCCATACACCATTGAACCTCTTAGCTTCCGAAATAGCACAGAATTCTACCCGTTTTGAGCCGGCAATTATGGTACTTAACCTTTATATTGTTGAGAGGGAAAAGGTTAATTTGTTACTCTCAGCTCTTGACCCGTTGGAAGTCGCTGCGCATAAATTAGCGGCTTCAATCAAAGGATTTTGAGTAACATGTGTAATGTCAGAGCACATTCAACCAATGGTTCGTCAACACCGAAAGCCTCACTCCTTATCCTCTAACAACACCGATTCTCCTGAGAGCATATCTCTATTTGTCATGGATTTATAACACCTCGTCCAACCACGGTGGCACTCTTGTGGTTACCAGCACTTCTGTGTTGTGGTAGTATGTGGAATGGGAAACAAGCGTGAGAGAAAATGTCAATGACTGAGAAGGGATGTAGAAGAACTTAAAAGGCACGGTCCGCGATCAGGTATCGAAGTTGAAAATATGGCGTCAGGAGGTTAGAGTGGTCCGCGACGAACAACCTTGTACCGGTTTCGCGGCAAAAAATTCTATGGGAGGGGCGCTGTAGCGCAATATAGGTTCAGTTCCTCCTTTTTTCCAGTGACTCCGCCTCCAGACTCCGCCCCTAATGACCGACTTCCAGTGAAAAATGAGATTGCAGGACGAAAAAGCATGATAATCGCCACTTGTACGATCGTAGAAATCTTATCGGTGAATCAGCCGTGCATATGAGGGCGTAGTTTTGGAGATAGAGTTGATTGGGCACGTACAAACTGGGATCGAAATGGGGTTCTATCTAGGGCAGGTGGCATGTTTTTTGTGCTTTTTTTGTTCACAGTCGAGTTACTCAACCCCTTGTCGTCTATATGGAACCCCCTAATCCACCATCTGAGATGGCGAGTAATCGCGGGTTCTTCCTTCAAGCATTGCCTGGCCTTTGGCACGTGTCATAGTAACAGCAGGAAGTTGGTTTCAACGGGTGCTATGGGGGTTTTGACGGGGAAATGACTGGTAAGGGACAGAGAAGTTATATTGACATTGGTGAAGGGTGGCAAACGATTATATCAATTGATTAGAACAGATACGAGGTTCACCTCCACTTCCTTAATTACCCTTCTTTTCTAAATATTAAGTGTTGAAGCTCAGTGTGTGATGAACTCATTGCTTTGGTGCGTCGAGCGAGGGCATACAATTCGCGTGTAATTAAAGCTGGCTGAGCATATAGAGCAGCAGCAGTTTTCTCAAGAGCCAACCTAGTGCTCCATATTACTGCTTTCCCCTCTCCAAAAGCTCTACTCTCAAAGAAGTTATGGGTGTTCAAGCGAGGGGTACTTTTCGAGTGTTTGGCTTGAAATTGGCTCCAGGTCGTAAAATACCGCGCTCCAATACCTTTGTTCTGCAGCTGCATATAGCATATAGAGCACCAGTCTGGCTCATGAGAAAACCAGAAATCAAAAAGTTGGAACCTGAATACGCTCCCTGTGGTGTTTTCAACAATTTGCTATTCTGTGAAATGAAATGTAAGTCGCGTTGAGGTGAATATTCAGTTTGATGATATGTTGTCTTTGGTAAACTCTTTACTCGACGGTTCTACGTGATGCACGCGACGGTGACCGTTTCATCATAATTTTGAAATACGAGACACAAAAACCGAAGTTTAGAAAATTCCAGAAAAAGAAAGTATAAGTGAAATGAACTCTATCGTGCCCACTATAATGCTAAACGACCAAGTGTTGCCACGCAGTGCGGTATAAATCGCTATTCAGCTGGTCTATGAAATCAAAAGCTTAAGGGTAGAACGTGATCATTCAGGATCTTTGGTTATGTTTCCATTCGAAGCCGTGGATCAGAGAAAGGTGCTGTACACAGCTAAACGTGCTCAAATCTCTCCCGAAGGAATAATATTTCATCCGAACGATAAGACGGTTCTGGCCGTGATTGAGGTAGGCGAGAAGCTACAACAGACTGGTGCGTTCCCCTTGGGAAAAGTAGACACGTTCAGAATTTATAGGTTTATCACAAGCCGGAGCTATTCATCGTCAACGATACGATCAGAAATGACCTACAGTATCTGCTCCAGTACGGCAATTCAGAGCATCTCTATGAGTTTGTAGGTCCGCTACCCTTCTGCTTTTTACTGTATAATCGTGTTGATGCTTTCGCTACTGTATAATTGTATTAGGCTTCAGATATGACAACATGGCTGGTTACGTACATTTTGCCAGGTAGACCTGAAGAATTCTTCCTATACCAGAGTCGGACAAAGAAGGTACGGCTATCTTTGTTGCCGTGTTATGAAGTTGAGATACAATACCTTTCTTTCCTATTCTCAAGCGTTTGCCCCACTCTGCAGCGGGGTTAAGCTTTCCGTTTTCGTAACGCCTTTTGTCCCGGCTGAATGGCTGCTCTGCGTGGGCACCAACTATCTGCACGTTTGCCTGTAGCTGTCGAGCCAGTGCTGCTTGAGGTGTCCTTTCAGTGTGTTTTCCAAGCACCTCAAGCTGGAGACTATTTTTTTAGACGGTGTTTCGCGACAAGTACCTGGAACACCGTCGAGCAAGACTCTCGCATCTCATCAGCTTTGGGCGGCACGCCAAATTTCTTGCGTGTGTCGTCGTCGCAAATTCGCGTGACACCGGCACTCCGACGTAACATTTTCATCTCCGTCGTCACACTCAGGCGGGCACGCTTGCCTAGAAGGTCAGCAGGCCAGCACTCGGCCCCGTAGTATGCTGCTAGTCTAACCACGTCCTATAGACCTTCAATTTTGAGCGATCTGGTATCGTCTTGTCTCAGAAAACGACGGTCAAACAGCGCCATTTTGCCCATGCTGAACTCATACGCGATTTCACCTCTGAGGTCACACTGCCATTGAGGGCGATTGCAGGTGCGATAAACTTGGAACTTCTTTAAGTTCTAATTTGTCGGCGAGTACCCGGTTTTTTTTATGTTCAAACTGATTCCGAACTTTGCCAGGCGATCAGGCCAAGCTTGCACCTGTTGCTCGAGATCGCTCTTATCGTTTTTGGCGAGCACCATATTATCTGCGTAGAGGAGCCCCCAAGGAGTGTTCCTTGAGGATCCCGCGAAACTGCAGGCTGACTAACCACGAAAAGAAGTGGGCTGCAGGTAAAGCCTTGACCAATCCTAACTGTGATTGGGAGTTCCTCCGAAAAGCCTGCTGCTATTTAAACGCTGCTATTTGAGTGGAG